AATTACTACTGTTCTAGAGATATTTCTCACACAAAAGGATGCAAATGTAGGCCTCTGTATCTAAAATAAAGGCTGAATCTTTCTGGCCAACTTATTGGGAGATTTCAAATCAGTTTTTAAAGGTTAGTCTGGATTATCACCTGATTCAACTCAGCAGGAAAAATCATACCATGTTGCGTGTGAAGTGACTATAATTTATTAGCTCATTAGCCTGGCCTTGAAATTGCCATTTTGAGCACTTGCCTAGGCTGACCATGTTTATAGGCTGAATTGCTTTTTTACAGACTCAAGGCTTCCCCTCTGCTTTGGGGCACTCATTGCAAGGGCCTTATGAGCTTGCCATGGGCTGGTGAACCTACTGATGAGCAACCTCTACCTGTGCACCCGGCTATTTGAAATCTCTTGCCATCATCTTCTCAGCTGGTACTGAAGTTCTGCTGTAGATACAGAAGTGTAAAGAAAGGCTGATCAAGGTGGTTAAGGAGGAGGAAGACTAGCTGTCTACATACAAGGAATGATTAAAATATAGTGGATACTTAAATTAAAACAAATTACAGTAAAAGATCCATTGAAAGATCTATTAATCCCCATCAAAACACTCCCCCCTCTTTGAATACATTTATCATACAGTTCTTGCCACTTTCTGAATCAGCTCTAGAAGTCCTTATTTGAGTCTTTATGAGACATGATCAAAAATACTGTATGGTAAGTCCTGCTACCAAGTGCCATCCGAGAGTGGAAAGGCAGGCTCATAAAAACTTTACAGTGCATTCTTATCCACCTCATTCACCAGACCTGGCACCATGCTATTTCTGGCTCTTCTGCGGAACAAAGTGACAATGAAAGGTAAACATTTTGAATTGATTCAGGACATTGAGGCAGCCAGGACAGGGCAACTAAAGACATGAAAGAGAACTTCCAGAGCTGCTGTGGATATTTGCAAGAATGTCTCATCCAATAAGTGTGTTTGAATCGAGGAGGAGTATTTTGAGGGGGCTTAATGGCCATGTGTCTTTTACTACAATGCATTTTTAAAATTTAAACCGTATTGTTCAATCACATCTTCCATGCTGTCTTTCTTGCAGCTTGCTAGGAGAGTGTGATCCACAGCTTCTTGAGAGCTTGTAAGGACAGCAAGACTTATTATGTTCAGGTTGGCATCCTTCCAAATGACCAAGAAGAAGGAAGGCTGAACGAACATCCCCAAAGCCTCGTTGTGCTGTTTTGGCCTCTGACGAGACAAGTAGACAGGGAAAACTTTCAACTTCTCATCTCTTGTGCTCTACTTGCGTCTTATTATCACCTTCTGGGGACTTCAAACTTATGCCAGCCAATAGAGGAGGTTTTTCCATTTAGGAGTATGTCATACACATCCTAACACCGTAATAATTACTGAAATATGCAAGAGGGGCACATTTCATTTTGAATTTGATGTCTGAAAATAATTTGGAGACTGGGCAGCCAGTTCATACATCCTGATGGATTTTTATTGGACCAGGTGTTCACTTTGTTCCCTGCTCAGCTCTCTGTCAGCAAAGAGCTCCTCCTCATGTGGATCCATTGAGGAGGACCATATGGTGGGTAGTGCTTCCCCTTCATCAGAGCGGTCACATTTGTATTCATCCTCTGATGAGCCAGTAAGGGGAGACTTCTCTCCTACACGGGGAGCCTGTTGGTGCTGGGAACAGAACTGAGCCTAAAATTCACTTTTTCCAAGTGGTGGAGACTTTATTCTATTTTCAGTAAATAAAGCGAGGGTAGTAGCTCAAGTCATTTATTTGTATACTGAAGTTCTAGGATACGTTCCAAATTCTGCTCCTTCTGTCAATATGAATAAAACTTTAGGGGCTAAATGACAATAATAAGCAGATTCTTTAAGGAATTAGGATGACTAATATTTTACTTGGGTGGATAACTGGTAACATACTCTAACCTTGGTAAGTAGGAAGGTCATGTCAATCTGTCTTAACTGTGTCTGTGTCTGGGGCAAAGACAGTTCTGTTTTATATGAAAGTTTAAACTCTTTCTAGCAATAATTTTCAATCAACATTACAAGTATAAATACTATATGTTCCATTGACTATTTTTTGGTAAAGTGCAATGACATGTTCGCAAAGATAGGTGTGTATTGATATCCACATAAGACCATTTATCTGAAAATTGCCTTTGAAAAACTGGTACCATTAAAGTTAAATGCATTCTTAGAGTAGATTGTAGTTCATTGGGATACACTTACTTAAAGTAAAACAGAATTTTAAATAATGTAAAGAAAATTTTGAGTTGTGAACTTCGAAACTGTTTAGTCCTGGGCTCAAATCTATGTTTGTTATGGCTTTTCTGATAGATCTGAGCCAAGTTATTAGCCATTAATCTCAATATGCCTATTTATTACTTTGTCTTTTTAAGATTTTCTGAACATCTTAAAAGTGTTTTACATTTTTCCCCCTATAGGTATGCTTATATTTACATACAAACTTAATTTTATATCCAGTAAAATTACCAGTAAGTAAAATGAAAAGTAAATAAAATGATTATTATTAAAATAAACCAGTCCTTAGAACTTGATTCAAACTTGAATTGAATGGAGTTCGTTTCTTGTGCATTTATACATAATTGAATAAGTGTAGCTTTTTATTTCCCTAAGATAACTATTTCTTAAACGATAGGAAACACTGCTTATCTCTCTACCCATTTGAAATGCCCTTGTTAAGTGCATACCTAAGAGTGGACTGCTAATAACTAAGTATGTGAAGTTTTAAGCCCCAAGTAGGCTGTATAATCAGTATAATCCATTTAAACTCAATTTTTCTTTTCTCTTGGTCAACATTCCATGTTCCTACCATATTGGCAGTTCATATTCTTTAATGCTGCTTTTTAACTAAACACATAAGAATTGATAAATAAATCTATAAATATCACTTATAAATAGCTATAGGTCTTTATGTGTACATGGATATCTACACGAGAGTACTGCTCTGGTTGACTGCTTTCCCCTGTACAGTATTTGTCACTACTAAACATTTTTTTCTCTCTCTAATCAATAGACCATAAATTGGACAAGAGTAAGAGCCTTGTTTTGTTTGGCATTTTATGCTCAAGATCCAGTGTGTTCCTGACACACTGAAGACATTCAGTAAATACTACCATGAATAAATGAATAAATAAATTATAGGTTCAGATGAGCACAATTTAGATTTATGTAGTTCAACCCCCTCTTCATACAGATATGGAAATTAGGCTAAGGATAGTTTGTGAAATTGCTTAGCTATCTATTAATATATCACTTATTCTTCTTGTTCATCAGTCAAATATTTATGGGACAATAACTACATACCAATCCTAGTACTAAGTATTGTTGATATTAGAAAACAATAAAAAAGACACCGCCTTTGGGAGGGGTATCAATATTTATATGGAAAACAGACAGAACAACTGATTTTGGGAATCTTTATACCTTAAGGAGAAAGAGAAAGTGTATAGAACTCAGAGAGAGAAGGAAAAGGAAACCAATGATGATGACAGTCAAGGGGGAGAGTGGGCCAAGGATTAGCAACCGGGAAACCTTGGGAACGGGGATGACTTGACCCATCTTCTCATCCAGTGTGACAAGCATATGAAGCAATGGAATGAAAGCATATATTGCAGTGCTTGGATGGTGGCCTTTGGAGCCAGAGAGCTTGGGTTCAAACCCTGGCTCTGTCACTTAGGAGTATTACAACTTTGGGCAATGTGAGCTCTTTATGTTTTAGCTACCTCTGCTGAGAAATGGGAATCATTGTACCTACTTAATACAGTAGCTTAAAGTAAGAGTAACTAAAATACAATGATCCCCTTTTCCATAGTAAGAGCTTAATAAAATTTGAAGCTGTGTATTATTATTGAGTACTGTTATCAAATGGTAGGAAGCGACCCTGGAGAAATGGTTTGGTGAGACTGGGAAGAGCTTGCTTTTAAATTTGATGCTGTATATATTGAACCAGCACTGAAATGGGTGTCAACTGGAGAGGGAAATGTTTGGCTTTATTTTACAGAGAAAGAACTCTCATATTACTAAGTAGACTTCGAAGAGGAGTGACTAATAAAAGAAGAGGATTAAAGACTTGCTACAGGATGTGGTTTGGCAATAACGTTGGGGATGGAGAGGTACAATTTCTGGAGATGGATTTTAGAGGTAGAGCAGTAAGGCTCGGGAAGGAGTTCTAAGATTCCCAGCTCATACAACTGTACAGTTAAGATTGAGAAACATCATAAAAACCCTTCATGTAAAAGATCAGCACCCTTAGTATTATGTAGGATATCATTAATTGTGCTCCTCACTTTAAGATGGTTTAATTTACCGTTACTTTTATCTTTGCAATTGTGTGAAAGCAATATGCAGTCCATTGAAACTGCAGTGCCATGTTTTGAAAGCTCTGTGATAGGCTGCTCTATGCTCCTCTCTTTTAATGCTTAGCACCGACAGCAGCACACAATCCCCAGGCAGCAGCTCCATCATGAGGGTAAACAACAGCGTCCTGTAATGCTTCGTTCTGATGTTCTGTAGCTTAGGAACATTAGATGCATTTTTACCTGCAGTACTTTTGACTTATGACGGGTGTGTGAGTACATAAGCTCGTGGTAAATTGAGTAGGATCTGTTTTAGTGCAGATGTTTGCTACTTAGAGTGTGGTCCACGGACCAGCGCCATTAACATCACCTGAACACGGTGAAATTCAAAATTTCCAAATCCAACCCCAGACCTCTAGAATCAAGGTCTGCATTTGAGCAAGATCTTCAGGTGATGTGCGTGCACGTTAGAGTTAGAAAATCATGGGTGTATAACAGCTATTGGCGAACTACTCTCTCTGACCAAATTCAGCCCGCTAGTTTGTTCTGTACAACTAGCAATGATTTTCACAGTTTGAAATAGTTGAAAATCACCAGAGGAAGAAAAATATTTCATGATACATAAAAATTATACAAAATTCAAATTCCAATGTCTATGAATAAAATTTTATTGGAACACAGCCAGCGCCCCTGTGTTGACACACTACCTATCATTGCTTGCATTCTTCAATGGCAGAGGTGAGGAGGTATGTCCCTGAAAGCAGAAAATGTTTCTTTTTTACAAGGCCAGAAATATTTGTTTTTTTACAGAAAAGTTTTTGACTTCTGAATGTAGGAGTCAGGAAGACCTATATTCTAGTTCCAGCACCATTATTTACCAAGATGCAAATAAATACTTACTATTAAATACCTATTTATTTAATGTACTTAACGGGATGATTTACAAAATAACGATCAACTTTAATTCTCTGTCCCTTAATTCTTCTTCCTTGGAAAACGAAGATTATTTCAACCTCATGAGAACATGAGAATACATAGAAAGAAGGCATCTATTGTACTTATCCCAAAGCTTAGCTCATAACAAATGCTTCATCCGTATTAGCTGCTATTCTTGTCAATAGATTTATAACCCAAATCTTTTTCTGTAATTCTGTATTTTCCACTAGTGAACATCCCTTTTCATGGGTATCCAGCATGATTGTTTTTTCTAAACATTCTGTCTAATTTACCTTGATTCTTGCCCTTGTCTAACTAACCAATTTTAGAGAAATGAGGAGTAATAAAGAAAATTGCTCCTTTACATCAGTAGTTAGGTCTGTCATGAATAATGATATTAATAGCTAATAACCTACAATGTGGTGTAGATACTAGGGAGTAATTTATTTTGATATTTTTATGCCATCATAATGAATTTGTTTGTTATTCATTGTAACTCTACTTTCAAGGCATAAATCAATGCTGTTTTATATTCTGGGCAGATGATCTGTGTATTTCCAGAGGTTTTCTAAGGTAAAGAATTAACATTTATTAATAGTAACACAAGCACTGAGTATTTTGAACACATTTTGAAAGCAGCAATAAAGAAATCACTGCCATGGATATTTTTTCATTTTGACAGTATGCTGCAAATAAACAAGCCGGTATTTAATACTTGGGACCTTGATTTGAACTTAAATTGAATGTAGATAAACATTTTGGTTATCTCTTCAATTGAAGTATAACTCTTCCTCAAAAGAAAGATACAGTTTCCAGAAAAATTGAATGTTACTGCCTTTTTACCTCTGCTTTTTCTTATTAGCTACACTGTGATATCTCTTCTAGCAAACACTGATATCCAGGGATGCTTACTGAAAACAATGGACAACAGTAAAACTGAGGATTTATGTGCTGCTATTTCCTAGTTGTGAATATAATATTAGAGCTGTAGTGTTAAATATCAGGTAATTTCCTTAGATTGTCAATGATTGCACGTATCTTCTCTTAGTGCAGCCTTTCAGAGTTAAGGAATAGCGAGACTCAGATTTCTCTCAAGTTATGGTTATTAAAAAATACTTTACAACAACTTTGCAGAAACAACTATACACATTTTTCTATTTATATTCTTATTCTCATGTTAATTGTTCTTTCAAATCAAATATAAATCAAACGTATCTTTTAGAAAGTCATCTATTAGAATTATACTAAAGTTATATTATATAGTTACTGAGAATATTTAAAGCCTTCATTGAAATGTTCACTTTCAAATTAAACTTTTAAATGTGAGCTCTGTCTAGAAGATTTTAAACTGGGACACTGTGAAATAGGTCTCTAAATCTTCCTTTAAAATAAAAGGGAATATATTACATATAAATTATAAACAGTACAGAATTGTCCGAGGTTCTTAAAATGACTGTTACATAAACCAAAAATTAATTTGGTTATTCATGTATGAGAGAGGCCAGCATAATAGTAAATGTTAAATATATGAAAACTATATTATCCTAGCTAACATTATTATACTAGAGTTGAAAATTCTTATTTATTTATTTATTTATTACTTTGGAGATGGGATCTCATCATGTAGTTCAGGCTAATCTTGAACTCACTAGGTAGCCCAGGCTAGCCTTGAACTCCAGGTGATCCTTCTGCCTCAGCCTCCCGAGTACTGGGATTATGAGAATGCACCATCACACCTCGTTTGAAGCACATTTAGTTTGGTGACTGGGCTAAGAAACTTGTCATACTCCTACACTTTTCCTCTCAACCCAGAAATACTAACATGTTAAAATTTTGCAGCCATAAATTTTAACTTGATTAAGAAAGATAGCCAGTATCCACAAGCAATTTAAACTCCTAGTTATGATTCTAAATATAGTTCAAAAAAATAAAGCTATTTGAACTTATGTGACTAGGTGATGATATAGGGAAAAAAATATATCAGAGAAAATTTAACTGACGATTTTCTGTTGGAAGTGTGGTCTTATCACAACTTTTAGTAACAGTGAATGTGCTGTTCTAATTTGAAGTGCTTTTATCATAGGAATTGTCAGGAATATCACTGTATATTTGCATATGTGACAATATAGCTGTGTATTTTTTATGGTCCGTATCTCTTAGAATATGTAGCTTTGGAAGAAACATGATATTTCAGGGCTTGAATCAATTCTAAAAGTTACCATTTCCTTTGTTCTTAGGAACATCATTAGTGAGCATTAGTCAGGACATGGTTTTGAAAATGGAAAGAATCAACAGGCCAGGCAATGTAGCTTTGCAGCCTCCATTTAAGTGAGCTCTCAATACTCAGGGCAATAAGGTCCTAGATGCTTCACTAATGATTTTCTAATTTTTAATGTACCCCAGGATATCACAGTAAAAACAAGGAGGGTGATCATTGAAATATAAATATTTGGAGACTCTGTTTTCTGGATAGTTAAAACCCAATCAATATTATTTCATAATCAAGTTCTCTCTGCTTGTGTAACATAATCACACTTTGGTATAGGTAGATACTAAGAAGTTTATCCAAAGGAGTAACAGGAAGTGATTTAGAAATGCTAGATATCTGCATTGATATCATTGCAGTGAGTCAAAATCATAGCTGACCAAACATGTCTGAAAAGATACTATCATACTTCTTTTATGCATTTAATGAAACATATACCCAATACATTTAGCTTGTTGACGTGCCTGAAGACATTAATAAAAGAATAAAATAGTTCCTTTTACTTTTGCATAGCTTTGTGTTTTACTTCCTGCTCTAGGAAAGAAAGCTAAGATTCAAATGTTGGACCTCAGTGAGTGATAGCAAAGCTTCAGTGCTGTGCAGGCAGGTAAGCAACTGGGGAAGAAAGGAAGGTTGTCAACCACATCTTCATATAAAGGTTATAACCGGCTTCTGGGAAAGAATTTCTGCAGAGTACAGCATCAATGCAGATTGTTTAAATGAAGAGACTGTACTGAGGGGACTACTTTGAGAGGTAGTATCATGTGAAACAAATAAATAAGCATGTTGTGACACTAAGAGATTAACCAACACCCAAAGGCATTGGCAGTCTTTAGAAATGAGTCAGATGATGGTTAAGCTGCAGGATTTCTCACATTATACAGACACCTCTGAGGCTGTAAGAGTGGCCAGAAATATTGTTACCATGGTCGTATATGTTATATCAAACTTGCAGATTTAATTATATAAGTTTGAGGCCTTCTAAAACCAGATATTCCCAGGCCTTTAGCTCTCTTACAGCCAGAGAACAGGGAGGAGATTTAAGGTTCCTTGAGCCCTGGAAGACTGGAGCTATGATGGGGGAACTACTCGGGCGAAGACGAATATTTGGGGATACAGAGATGCCTCTGGCATCATAGCCTAGAAGCAAGAGGAGGTGGGAAAGAAATTCCTCGGCCCTCTCTTACCTGCCATTTGATTCCCTGATGTGGCGTCTCCTTGGTTGCGTCTGACAGGAAGCCAAAGACGAGGGGATCTGGCCTGGGAGAGAGGATGGCATGGAGAGAGGCAGGGGAAGGATGGATGGAGAAGAATAATTAGTAACACAGCGGACACAGTTCGCTTTCTCCTTCAGAACCCTACATTTGGATGTACAATTTCAGGCTAGGGATTTGTTTTTGTTTTTTTTTAACTTTGGTACAGGTTGGTAGTGCAGAGTTATTACATTGGTAATAGACTCCACCCCCTTTAAACTTTTCAGCATCAGATTAATGTATTTTTGGATCTTGTAAAGCGAACTGTCATATACATAGAATGAAAATTAGAATAATAGGCCAAAGAACATGTAACACATATAAGACAGTTATAGTAAGTCAAGGTACACTTTACATACATTAAAATGCCATTTTCTTCTCTGTCTTTTGTTTCCTTGAGTCATTTGCAGGAAAGGAGTTGCACCTAGAGACCACAATGTGAAGTGAAGTAACTCAGCCACATAAACATAATATGACATAGCTTCTCTTATGTGAGAAAAACTCAGTCTATATATAGGTATCTATTTATATATTTATAGATGTATATCTATGCCTGTCCATATTTATCTATCTATAACTATATCTATAGTACAAAATAAAGAAGTGGATGTCATTTTTGATGCTTCTGTGAGCCTGTGAATCAGGTATATTTTAATGGTAGATTATATGAAGAATACAGTGCAATATAGTGTTTAAAGTTGTGCACCACAGTTGGGTTCATAAAGCAGCTTGAATCAGGACAATTAACAGAACATATAGAGTCATAGGCCAGGCTGCACCACAGAGTAAACTGTGACAGGGAAATGCAAGAAGACGGCTGTACCTGTAAACAGAATCATTCCATAAACAGACACTTTCCAGATGAGTAACTACCTTTCCACCTAAGCTTTCCTTAATAACTGTGCAAATATTTACACACCACTGGTGAATGGATGTGAATGTTAGGCTCCCAAAGTGTTGACTGGGAGATGAAGCTAGTGGCTTTTCTGCAGGGGCAGAGTGAACAGAACTCATTCTTCTTAAATTGCCCAGGCTAGACTAGAAATTGTGATCCTCCTGTTTCAGCCTCCCAGGCAGCTGGGATTCCAGGCATGTCCCGTCATGTAGCTGTAAATCTATGGGTTCTTTTCTACAGTCTAAAGTAGGTTTTATGTGCATTTTAATCAAGCGTTGGCTTTTCCACTTCCCTGAGACTACTGTCACTGTCAATGTGTGGAGCCCTTTGTTTTCCAGTAGGGTAATCCATGCTTTCTTTTCTTAGTGTAAACCTGGATTTTGCAAACAGAAATGCATTTGCTTATAGGGTTTGATACTCATTTTAAGAAAAAGTGTGTGATGCCTGGGTGGTAAAGCTTCCCTTGACTGTACATATCATGTCTCCCACTCATTGGTGACCTCCTTCTCATACTGCCTAGTCGCATGTCCCAGACATTCTTTCTATGTCTACTCTCTAGTAGTGTAAGTGAACAATGTGTAGCTCCCCACAAGCAGTAATGAAGTTCTAACTGTGCTCTACCCTCCACCCTGCACAGCCTCCCTGATTCTAGTTGCTCATCCAAGCCTTAGTTATCCTCACCCAGTCCTGATGCCTGTTATACGACAGCATCCTCCAATTCTCTGTATACCCCATCCTTTCTATGCCATATGTTGTCGGTTTGACTCTACCTACCATACTAGAGGGCTTTTCAGGTCAGGGAAGGAGTCTAATTCTTTTCAGTATCCAAAATGTGCAGCTCTGGCTCATAGCAAATCATCAATAAGTATTTGTTGAAGTGAACAACTGTATAATTGCAAAAAATTTCATTTTCCCCAAAGCAGAAAGAAAGCACTGTGTAATCCTCAAGGTAGCCCTAGTGTCCTAGTTAAAACTTAGTCCGATGTGTAAAATTTAATTATCTCTCTCTGATTAATTGGCTCTTGAGATGACTTTTGGATTTTCCCTGTGCTTGGGGTAAAATTAGACCAGTAAGTGTCTGTTTCATCACACTAAGCTACCTGCAAGAGTAAGTTGTACTTTTTGTTAAGACTTAGAGGGCATATTAGGTAATCTCTTTTATATCAAGTCACACAGAAGAGAACTAACTAACCATGATCATCGCTATAGTGTCAAGTCCACAGCAAAGAAGATGGTAATGACAATGTCTGGTAGCATAGTGGATGATCACACCCACTGTTGGTGGGATAGGGATCTTAATCTTCAAGTTTTGGTCAAGAGAGAAGAAGCAATTTTCCCAATGTCACCATTCTAGAGGAAGTAGAATGTGAACCCTGACCTCCCTGGGGGAGATTCAGTGCTTTCTATCCATCATTCCAAGAAGACTTTCAGCACTCAGAATTTGCAACTATGGTCAAGTACTGCTTTTGCTTGCATGGACCAATTCTTGCCACCTTATATAGCTTTGATGAAGTGTTGGTTTTTTTAAAAGGCCAACTTGTGCATGGGGCACCTGATGTATATTTTCATCAATTTACTGAGGGTTGGCTTTGGAAATATTGTGAGGAGGTTGATAGAAGAGGTGGGTAAAGAAATGCTAGAGATTGATGAGCTAGTGACTGTATAACTTTTCTTAGGGCAAGAAAATAGACTGTTGAAGATAAGTTTCTCGAGGAAGATTTATATTTGTTTTCTTAAAGATGTATGGAATATATACCTTTCTTGGAAGTGGATGTGAAATCTACTCTGGGCCTATATCTATGATGAGTCAATTTGCCAATGAAGTGTTTTGGGATTGGACTATTTCCTATCTGCCTTTCTAAGTACCCAAGTGCTTTATACCTTACCAAGCATCATCCATTTTAGAGGAGAGCACTTTTAAAATGGGTTTCCATCTCAACTCAGCCACATTTTTAGTGCATGGTGAAATTCATTTGAATAATAGGCCTTATTTTCACTGTGCTTTCAGCAGAATTGAGAGCAAGGAAAGAAAACAAGGCAGATTTGTAGGGTAGCTGCAAAGTGAAAAATATGCATTTGAGTGAGTGATGGCATGTGGGTGTTTTTAGATCCCAGCCCCCCTTGTAGACACTTCTCAGGAGTTTCATGGGCAGGGAGGGGAGGTTGGCTCTGATGTTGAAGTCTGCATCGGACTGTGTTATTGAACCTTGCGACATTTCACTGTATAGAAACCATTCAGCAGAGTCTGAAGAGGCCTGGCAAAATGGACTCCATTTGTTTAAAATGGTAGGGAGTTTATTTACTGGATTAAGTGTGAAGTGTGGAGATAACAGATGGAAGGAGTGATCACATGACATATTTAAATAGTCTAAGGATAACCTCGATGTCCTGGTCAATGTTCCTTCTCTCAATTAATGCCAGTGCTAATTAACTGGCACAAGAGTTCCTAGCCATATGGGGGATGTTGCTGAAAGCCGGCTGGCAGCCTATACCCAGACACTACCTGTATATAATTCAGTGCTTTGCCTGGTGCGCTGGGACTTCCATAATGGAGCAGCCCAGCTCAGATAGAGCCTGTGGTTGCAAGCATCATGATATTTTCTTTGTTTCTGCTGTGCACATTATTCCAAGTAGGTTTGAAAATTTTTAAATTGAACTATTTTTCAGGAAAGTGAAACTTGACTTGGCCTATGCACGCATTTTGGGCTTGAGTTTCTGAATGGCCTCTTTATTGACCTCCATTCTAATTTCCTAATAGCGGGGAACTAACCCATGAGTGATGCTCGCCCAGCCAGTGCTGTGTCATTGAGCTATCTGTTTGCCTTATGACTTGAAAAATGAAGGAAAAAACTGGCGGAGGGGAACAGAGCTCTATAGAGTTGGGGAGTTAGGTGCCAAGTACACACCCAGGTATGTGTCTCATGGCAAGCAGAGTGCTGAGTTTGGAGTCTGATAATTTGAGGAAGAATCTCACTCATGTTGGCCATCCGCCTTTTGGCCCTGACCCCTCCCACAGGCTGGCTTGGGAAACAGGTGATTAGCTTTTCGTTCCTATGACAAAATACCTGGGAATAGCAGCTTAAAGAAGAAAAGATTGGTTTTGGCCCACAGTTCCAGAGTTTTCAGTGCCTGCTCACTTGGCTGCTGGGGAAAGCTGCTCAGCTCCTGGCAGCCAGGAAGCAGAGGGGAGGGAGCAGGTGCCTGGGGGCTCCCTTCCTGCCCCTTGTCCATCCAAGGCCCCAAACTACTGGATGGCACCATCACCTTCAGGGTAGGTCTTTCCTACCAGCTTTCTGTTCTACATGTCAATCATTTCCGGAAACACCCTAACAGACATACTCAGAAGTGTTTTTAACTAAATCCTTGGCATTTCTCCATCAATGAAGTTGATAATTATGGCTGAACGTCACACAGAGACTTTTGATTCAACAATATCTGCCAATGTTCTCAAACAAGAATGAAACTGGTGTAAAATAGGGTGACCATTTAATTTATGGGAAAAGAGGAATGGATTGTACTGACTCCAGGGCTGCAGGGATGCAGCTGGACTATTCTGGGCGCACTGAGAGGTACAGTGTCCATCAGGAAGAATGTGCTCTGCAAATGCAACTTCAAAACAGGGGTCTTGCGTTCTTTATTCCAACCAGATTTTAGCCTCCAACTGCTTGCTACAGAGATATTCTGAAGCTTTCATTGCCTTGGAAAAATGCGTTAGTAATCCTCTCTGTACCTATGCCAGGTGTGAAACACAGTTACAGAACTTGCCTCTCAGAACTGTAGAAAGCTCTAAAAGTGTGCGAGCCACCTATTACGAGACGTGTCACATGGGACCTGTTTCCTAGTCAATGTTTTGTCCTCTTGTCTCCTTCCCTTTCCTTCTCCTCCCCTATGTAAATGATACCACCACAGACAAAAAGGTTAAAGGAAAGAACAACATATTTGTATTCCCTACAAATGTTGAGTTGGTAGAAAGTAATACCAGTTGTCTTATCAACCATTTATCCCCACTTCCTGGAGACTGGGACAGAGAACCTGCTCAGGAACAGTTGGATAGGTGAGCAAATGCAAGAGTCAACAGGGAACAGTCATTTCACAGCGGTGGTTTGCAGACA